AATATATATTTTTAAACTAATAATTAAATTCAGTAGCTTTAAGAAACAGCAGTAGTTCAATTAATGATTTATAATCATAGAGCATACATCTTGCACAACAGGAATTTTTTCCAAGTCATTGGCGAGAGCTAGGCATAATAGAAACTACAGTGAGGAATATTCTCTGGATTTATTTAACTTGTGTTTTGGAAGGTATCTAACATTTCCTGTCACTCAGCAAGATCCACCCATGCAACTGTTTGCACATGTAGAATGTCAACGCTTTGACTGTTGTGACAATGCTCGAAGTAGCATTGCACCAGTAATTATTCAAAAACTGTTGCTATTTTCAGTCATGACATGTATTTCCCAGCATTGCACTGCTTTGGTGAAGTTTTACTGTGACACATACCGTTACTAGTACTAACTGTTTCCAATGATAGAACTGAATTAAAAAAAAAAAAAAAAATTATAACTCAAACGTGTAAAGAGGGTTTGAATGCACTATGAATATTTCGTTTTCAGAAGATGGTACTAACTTCCAAAGCCAAATTTCATTCAAAAAAAAGAAAGCAAATGTGAGAGGAAGACCTTTAGAAAACCAGCTTCACTGCCCTAACAGTAAAACACCCTTGGCTTCAGTTTGATCAAAGTGAGTCCCTGCTTGGTCCTGAAAACAGGAGAAGCAAAGCCTTTAATTACAAAGGCTGAATCCCACTGTGCAGAGAAAGGTACTGCATTTAAGCTTCTGGAAGAAGGAAATAGTTGAACAACTCTGGATTTTCAATTTTGCCGTACTAAATAGAGATGATATTAAACTGCACACTTAGAGTAAGACCTTTTTCTAACACTTGCTGCATCAATCACATGCATTCAATGATAAATCCTTGTAACTTGAATTATTTATATTGACTAACACTTCTCATCTTTGCCATAAGATCAACAAACAACAGATTCATTGTTCTGGTTCCTGTCACAAACGTTATCAAATACCATACCGAATAATAATCTTACTTAACATAAAAGCCTCTTCAATTCCAAAGCAAAAAGGAAAATTTAAAGAGAGGTAGTATTTCAAAATATTTTATCATTACTGCTTTAAAACAGTAACTTTAACTGCATAGGAATATACTTTTTTCCTCATTTGATAATTACTTTGTATAAGATTTCCACAAGATGGTGCTGTAGTGCTATTTTAGAAAACGTCACCTTTTTTGTTGTTGAATTGGTCTAACATTTAGAAGAAAAGCTCATTTCATTTCATTGTTAGGATAATGAACAGTGATTTGCAAAATTATGGTGCAAAAAATGTTCACATCATCTAACTTTCCAATTTTAATTTTTTTTTTTTTTTTTTTAAACAACTGGAAAATTAAGTTCTCTTGCAAAAGTAAAAAAACCCCTCAACTAAAGTTTATATAACATAATGGATCACCGTATGTTCTTCTGTTTGTATGTAAAATAAAGTCAATTTACATTCCATATGGTTACAGGAAGAAAAATTGTAATTATTGTTAAAATATATAAACCACTTTTTACAGCATAATGTCAAACAGCTGCTTTCACCTTTATTTGCAAACTCTGCCAAAAAAATCCACTGGTTTTATGATATCAAACTCCAGAAAACTTCTTGAGTGAAGTGAGTATTATAGCACAAAGAAACCTTGATATGATAGGCTACCAACTTACAAAGAGTAATAAATAAATAAATCTTATGAAACCTCACACATCTTTGGTTTGATTATATAATGTTTATGGAAGTCTTACATCTACTTACGTCTCTAAAGAGAAATTTTAATACGGCTTCAAATCATAAAAATGTTGTGTATCTTTGCATACTGGATGGTCTCCATCTGTGCTGCTGGTCTTAAAACGTGTTGGGTAAGAGCACTAAAACACTCAACACATCTCTTGCAGTCAAAGTCTGTGGACTCACTTGCATGTTTTAGTGTTTAGGATCAAACTGACCCTCACTTTGTCAGTGTTAATGGAAGCCTAATGTGTTGGTGCTCTCCAGCTTAGCATGAAGATTTCTATTTAAAAAAATCTTTTTTAAAAGCAAAAAAGGTACACATTTAAAATTGTGTATTTAAGTTTTCATTAAGGCTTATTCAACAGTACAGATGGTAAGATGGTATGTAAGAAAGCCTCTTGGGTGCAATATGCAAGTCCCAGCTGGAATGTTTCCAACAGGATGTAAACCACGGTCCTCAAGCCTACACTTTAAAAAACATATTACTTAGCACACTGCTAACAAATGTCAACACAAAAATACACTGCTGTAATAACTTCACTATACAAAAGTCGGGGGGAAGCTATTTGAACAGTTTTTAAAACCAAAAAATCAGGGTCGGGGAGAGGGAAATCAGTACACAGATGCATTAGAAAATATTTATTCAAAGGAATAAAAGCACTGGTGATCATTACAAATTTGATATATTAAAAAAAATTTAATGCTGTACAAACATACATATTAGTTCTGATATCCGTAAGTCTACAGAGACCAGGTCTGAAGACCTGTGCTTTCAGGTCTTCTCAGAGGTGTTGCTTGAAGTTTTCAACAATTCTGAGGTTTCTTCAATTCTGAAAGTAAGTTTTGTTTACACACACACTCTTATTAAAATATGGTAAGAAATAACTGACTTGTCTTTAACTTTCTAATGAATCCAAAATACTAACAAGCAGCATGAAACCTTAAGTTTCCTCTCATACCCCCTGTAACTCTGCAATTGGCTTGTATTTTAAATGCCTACCACATATCAATAAACCTTAAGTATACATAAAGAAAGAAGTAACCCACACAATAAAATTAAATCACAAAAAAGGCTACAGCTTTTTTCAGGCCAGGCACTTATAGGATAGAAATCTCTTGCTAAAGAAACATTATACAGCAATGCATTTCTCTTCAAGTGTAATAAAAATATATCTTACAAAAAAAATTTTCATTACAGATCTCAGGACTAGTATCAAATACACCTTTAATACAATTCTCACAATGCTTAGCCTAAAATTGGTTTTACTTTTCCTTAAACAATAAAAAGCAGAGTTAAGATATTGTAGTTATTTTTCAGGAAGAAAAGTTGCAAGTACCAGGGAATTCCTATCAGAAGATAAATAATATTCCTATTCCTTGTCAACCAGATTCTAAACACTCTTTAATATCTAGTAAATACTATTAAGAATGCTTTCTATTGCTTCTTAGAAACCAAAACAGTGACTCATCCCACAAATACAGAACTGTAAGTGGATTTATTATCCAGTGGAGTCATAAGGAAATGCCACACCTGATGTAGAGACCTTTGAGGTTTGGAACACATATGTACGTTCTCTATATGCCTTAGTCCAGGATAACTCCCTCCTGGGAAATGAATTCAATATTACTTACATTTTACTTATCCTTTCCATTCTTTGTCTTGTTGTCTCCTGCAATTTAAAAGCAACAAAGTTAGTGAATTCTTCAAAGCTAACATTCTTCAGATGGACTTTCACCTGAAAAAATCATAGAGAAAATGTGACTTTAAGCACTGTTTACATATCAAAAGGATTTTCACGAGACAGACCTATTTGTAGTTTTGCATAGTTTCCTTGTTTTTCACTAGTAGGATATACAACTAAAACTAATGCTTACTTGTTCTCTTGACCTCAGAAAGGAAATCAACTAAGCATTTGCCAGTTTTACTTACCTTTGAAATGTCTGTCAGACCATGAGAATTAATGGTCATGGCTTTGGGAGATGGGTCTGTGGGTAACAGTGAACTATATCCAGACAACTGATGAAGACTTTCTGGCATCTCCTCCTTCCTCTCTGTATCTATGGAGAAATACTCATTTTTGTGTCACCTTTGCCTTTTTGCTCTCTTATTGCAAGGTCAGCTATCAAATAGCTTGATTTACAGTATGTAATAATAGAAGAGAATGCATTGTTTAGAGAGGGAAAAAGAAAAGCTACTGGTGAGGATCCAAAATAGGTTTCTCATTTTCTTAAAACAAGGTAAGTGCAGTATACTATGTATAACATACACAAGACAAATTTAAAAAAAGATTACTAGGAATGCTACCTTTATCCTGATTACAGTGAAATCAACACTTAAGAAAGTCTAATTATTGGGTCAAAATTTAAAAGTAATTTCAAATAGTTTACATTATTTTTATTGTAAACTGCCTGTTCAAACATGTCTTTAATTTGTAAGTAACCTATCTTATAAGCAGCAGAAATATAAACAAAATCATCACCTTCTTGTTTAGCTTAAAATTTGTATCAAGCTCTTGCTGTTTCCCTAGCTCTCCTCCCGTTGTGATAGGTTTAGCATCCATTCAGCAGAAACAGACTTTTCTTCTACATTGGGAAGGCTTTGATACTCTTTGCAATTTCAGAATACTATTGTCAGGGAAGAGAATTTAGTATTTAGAAAAACAGAAAAAGTGTTCCCATATCCTTATTTTCAGTAAGGCCACCATCTACGGATCATACCTTTGGAACATGTTTAGCTACACTATTCTGTATTTAAAATCATACTAAATTATTTTTAATCAATTAAAATTGAAAAGTGTTTCTTCTGTACAGCTGTGATTCCTGAAGAGTACTACAACCAAAAAGAGCATCAAAGCATTCCGAGTACTGTACACCTCAGATATAAGAGTTAAGACTGGCTGCAAAATTTGTATGCCTAGAATTTCCTGAATTATATTTTAGAAAAACAGGAATAATGAATTCAGAAGAATTTCAGAAGTCTGAAAATATGAAAATTCTCTTTTAAAGACCATCAGCCTGCTTGCTGACTATGAAGTCCTCAAGTGTCAGTAACATACCACTAAATTTATGAAAGGAAGTAAATATGTTGCAAGCTTTTTAAGGTCTGTAAAAAGAAGGCCCCACTTCTGAGACTTCAAAATTAAAACAAACCTTGACATAACCAAGAAACTGCCTTCTTAATTTCCATGGAAACTGGATTACTGAGATTCCCTTTTAATTTCAATGCAACAGCCCAACACTGGACAAAAATGCGTAGTAAGTGAGAATGGGAAATAGAATATCCTCCTTACTACTGGTGGTAGGAATAACACCTGCCATAGGGGAAATAGGCCAGATTAATAAAGAGAATGATGCAAGGTAAGGGCTAAAGAGCTACCATTGAGGAAGAGAGAAGAATTATTTATGGCCTGGGGAATGTTTTTAATTTCTTTTCCACTTACTTCTTGTACGTTATCAAAATTAAGTTGGAAATGAAAGAAAAAGATTTTGTCTTGCTCTTCCAAATAAGAAAGTTTAGCAAAAATGCTAGTTGGATAGCTGCTAACTGCTTCAAAAGGGATGAAACTATAGAGAACATTCAGCAGTGATTCGAAAAACAACACGGATTATGAATGAAAAATCCCTGATTTGTCCTGAGCCCCATTCTAAAAGTAAAAAACATAAATGTGACACTGTTTGAATTACCACAAACTCGTGGCAGCAAATATAATTTCTTTTGTGCTTATGAATAGCTTATTTTTAAAACATTATCATAACTGCTTTAAAGTGCAGCTAACATTATTGTTTTTCACAGCTTTAGCTATAGCACCTTAATTAAATTTGCATCTTTGATATTTTTAGTAGTTATTTGTAACTATTAATTATTATGCTATATATTTTCATTAATGCTTTAAAAACTACTTCAGTAGAAGCTTCTAAAGAATAAATTACAGACATGAAATGACTAGCAGGTTAATTTCTAATTTGCAGCATGTATTTAAATTCAGAGGTCACTAAATTGCAATTGTCTACTTAAAAAACATTATTTTAGTCAAGGTCAGCAAGAAGTGTTCAGCATATGATGTTAATTAAAAAGAAAATCATTAATACTCACCAGGAGAAACTGGAATCCTACTAGAAGTACATTCTTGACTTATATTGCTGAACTCTGCAGATAAGTCTCTCTGAAATACAAGTTTACTGCATGTTAGCCATACACCCTGTTTAAATCATCTTTTGACTGAACAAAAATATATTTAAGTACTAACTATGTATGCATTGCTACACCATCCAGATATGGTGGTACTGCACAAATGTCGTTACAGGACTACAATAATCCAAAGTTTCCATACATACATTGCATTAAAAAAATAGTCTATTTCATGGGAGCCTTTTTATTATCAATATTGCTGTTCATAAGCAGGTCCAAATATAGTGCATGTAACTTAGATATGAGTAGAATGAACAATCAGACCATTCTTGGCCTATGCTAACAATTACATCTTGACGTTGGCTGCCGTTACCTTAACAAAATAAGTGTACCTTCTACTTCTGGTTGATATTCAGAAATGCAGCTCCTTGGTCCTAAAAAATTAGCCTACAGATGAACTGAAATTCATTCCACTTAATTGCTTAGAACTCAACAGTATTTCAAGCTGGTTTCCCAGGCTCCTAAATGAGAGAGGACTCTTTTAAGAAAGGTTCTCAGTTTAACTCAATCTAGCTTAGAAAAGATTGTTCATAAACAAGGAAAAAAAATTAATGTTGTACTAACAATACATGGTTTTGAGTGCAATTTTCTAATTCCAAAATTAAAAAATCCAACACTCATAAACAACATCTAGACTTTTTTCACCAATGACTTATCATTAGGATTTGAAATCTCAGCCTTTGATAAAGTATATCACTTTATATACTGGAGTAACTATATCAGTTAGCAGGGGAATATTACACCTGAATAAGTGAATGAGGGAGAAATAGTAGGTACTGTGTGGGAAGAAGCTGAAAAAACTGTAATAATGGATACCTGGTTTTTTTTGGTTTTTTGTTTTTTGTTTTTTTTTTTAAAGAAGAAGAAGATATCTGCACTGACTCCTTCTGCTCAATTCCTTTCATTGAAATGGATTTGGTAGCTTTCAGACTTTCCCAGAGCTAAACACACAGCTGCTGCTACTTTGGCAGCAGTGCAAGACAGATCTTAGAGTGTTCCTGCTATGTTGATTAGATGCCAAAAGTTCCCTGAAAAATGCAAGAGTAAGAAGAAAGGACTAATTCTGAATTCTTTCTATATCTGTGAAGCACAACATGGATGGAATTTCATGAAACAAAGAAGCAGCAATTCTCTGGCCCAAAGGATTCTTTCTTGGCAGTTTTCAAATGCCTATTGCAAAAAAGTTAGTGTTTTGAAGACTTTTTTCTTTTTAAATATAAAAAAAAAAAGCTTCTTTCGCTTTGAAAAAAGACAAGCAACAATGCCACACACAAACTAAATTCAAACTTGTTTCTGCAGATGACTTCTTTCAGAAACATGCAGTACAGAAATATAATTATCTTACTGGAAATTTTTGAGTGATACTAATGTTAAGTATTTTCCAAATATTTTCCAAATACTATTCCAAACCTTTGAACAACTGCAATAAACATGTTACTGAAGTAATAATAAACCAAATTAACAGAAATAAAAGAACAAGACTAGTCTGAAACACAAGCTTTCCTGTGCTGCTACTGTCATAAATGCAGCAACTATCTCTTGAAGAGAATACACTTGAAACAGGAGCAAAACTGTCTATGGCTGTTCAGCTGAAGGCCTCTTGAGACTGCTAGCAGAATAAAACATTGTCATTGGTGGTGTTATTTGGACATACGTCCACTGATAATTAAATTACAATATCCATAAGAAATTGATTTCAAATGGTAAATCACTTGAGCCATTACTGACCTGAAACTGTGTTTAAAAAAAAAGTGATTGAGAATGTCAATCCTTATCATTTGAGCTACAGCCTTTAGAAATAACCTAGTGATCAATCTGAACACTTCTCCATTTCAAGACTCTGCATAACTAGCACGCTTTCAAGGCACACATAAAAAAAGGTCTTGTATAGAAGTATTAGCGACATTTTCAAATTTGCAGGGCCAGCAATACACTCAGAGCTCCTGGTTACAAGTAAATTCAACATTTTTACAGCTACAGAGAAAAATGTAACACTGATCAACTATTTTCCACAATCATTTTCAACTTCTGGAAAGCATCTGACAGTATCTGAAGGATACACAAGACACATATGCAAATACACTTTGAAATTAAGCATGTGATCACAAAATCGATATGGTTCACTGCATCTGAAAATACTTACATGTGCACATATATGAAATTATATAATGTGCATACAAGGACCTTTCAACAGCATGAAAAATAGTACAGAGTCTTAATGCAACAAAATACTTGATTTGCCCTGACAAATATGCAAATTGTAGCCACATCACAACTGTAGCACCTTCATGCATTTAAAAATGCAATGAAGATCCTGGATAAGAAATAGGAAGGCGGGGGCGGGGGGCCATGCAAAAAAGAGAAAGACCATTGATTAGGCTACAAATTTCAAAGATTCACAAACTTAGAATAGGACTAAAATAAGTATTAACTTTTCCATTAACCTTTTATTTTCCATTGAGCATGCTATCTATTTTTGTCAACGTTAGTTACATACAACGAAGACTTAATCTTCCAAAGGGAACATCTGTATCTAATTGGAGTTTGGAGAATTAAAAAAATAGATATTTAACTGTATCAACAACAAATAGATATTCAACTGTATCAACAACAATAACATTCGCAGGCCAGTATAAGAAATTCAGAATAATGCAGACCAGAATTAGGAAACCCTTAAATGTGTCACTAGCATGATGAAATTCTCAACTACAGAAACATTAAGCTTTCAAAGACAGCATAATTAAGAGTCTTCAAAAGCTTCCTTCTATAAGTTTGCTAGGAAATGAAAACCCACCAGTCATTACTAATGAAAATAGGCTTAGCTACACGTGCTGTTCCTTTAAGGAAACAATTTCCAATGGAAAGCTTTGCTTCATAGAGCATGAGAAAACAAGAGAATTTAACAGTTAAGAAAAAAATACCACCAACTCCACAAACAGCACTTCCATTCAGATCATGCTTTTAAAAATAGTGAAAAGCATACATCAGGAGGCAAGAAGAACAGAAACAGGCTGACAACATTGTGTCTGGGCAATTTTTGTTATAGAAGAAAAACAGAAGTTAACATACCTTTTTGGATTGCAACAACAGTTCTGTTTCAAGAAGCAAAACTCGACTCAACAAGTTATTCCAGTCCTTCTCATCTATGATCACCTTTCCTTTCAGCTTCTCTTCTAAAACATGTAGTTTATCTTCCATGCAATCTAGCTTATGAAGCTTTTCCTGGCAGTCAGCAAGCTGACTCTTTAGGAACTCAATCTGACAATTATCTTCTATGACCTGAAAATATGGATAAGAACACATGTCCTCAAATTTCAAAACAGATATGATTCATCAATGAAATTAAGTGGAATCTTCCTCAAGTTCAATAACCACATTCTGCTACCTTAGAAAATTATTTTTCAGAATTGCCATAATATGTCTATTCATGGAACTCAGCTTTTAAAGAAACTGTTGACAGAACTGGCTCGTGAAAGGACAGTACAATTTAACCGACTTTTTTTCAACTTTATTATATATCTATTCATTATACTTAAGGAGCATCCAGCTATCTTTTTAAAACCTTTATCCCTTTAGAAAAGCCCTGTAAGAAAAGTCAACAATACATGCGGACAGCATCTTAAAATAAAAGTTCTTACTTGTTCACATTTAACTTCCACAATATCATGATCTAGGTACAATTCTTCTTCATTACCTCCCTGTGCTGGAAGGGGTAGTGGATGAAGGTCATCACTAACTTCATTTCCTGAATGCCGTTCTACTTGAGGCTTCTTCTGAGCATGTTAAAAAAAAAAAATTCACTGGTGTTATTCATTACAAGATCATTTCAATTCATCAGCCAAGTAACTGACACAGAAGATTTATTTAAATCTGACAATCTTATCTCAACTGGTTGCAAAACACCGAAAGCAACAGCAGGCAGTTTAATTTAAAATATTATATAGACATGAGAGAACTGTAAAACAAATATGCACACGCTTTACCACATGTACTGTGTACCTTGGTTCCCTTCCATAAACAGTAATGAAGGCATTAATGTCCTCTCTTATTGCAAGGGTTGTTAGATTTCTAAGTGTGGATTGGGAGGTATGAATCTCACTGTATGTATTAACATATGTATAGACAGTTCCAACATCAAAAACATCACTCAAACATTCAGAAAAAAAAAAGTTTAACTAGGAAGATTAGAACTTGACAACTGTCAGCAAAATAGCCCTACTAGCTACACATTTCATTTCCTTTGAATGCTTCCCTTAGAGAGAACAAAATGAGACAAATTTTGCCTTTCTTTCCAGGTGGATCAAGTCCTCTGCTCACTACCTGCCACATAACAAAATAAATTACGTAATGATTAAGAACCCACAATTACTAGTTTTGTGCAGCATCTTAACACTTACAGATTCCTAGACGTTTTACTAAAGCTGAAACTTTCCTCTTCTAGGGAATTCTTAATACACTCACATATATCCCATTCAGTTCTACCATTCAACAACCAGAAGTGCCAGATAAGTCATTCCAAATATTTTCTTTGTGAAATTTTCCTCTGCTAGAACAATATTTTCCTTTTAAATAGAAATCACCAACATTTAATGGGCAGTCACAGTCCTAAAAGTTTTGTACAATTTTACTTTGCACCCTTTAGCAGAAAATATTAGGAAAGCTGTCTGCTCCATAGGCAAAGAGTAGTGCTCCACAGGCAAAGAGTAGTGTAACGCGTAAGATCAAGTATTACTCTTGTAAAACCGAAGCCAAGAGGAATGTTACATTAAGAAATCTTTGCTGAACAGATTTAGACAAAAGAGCAAAAAGTGTTTTGAAAGCTATGTTGAAAACATTGCAATGTTAGGCCAAACACACTGCAATCTCTAAACAGGATGTATATTCTTTTTCCAATTGCATCTTCATTTTCATTGCTGTCCCTCCATTAGATACAATTCAAACGGCAAACAACAGTACTAGATCATTACCACCAAGACTTTGAGATCAGCTACTCAGTAAAAGAGAGAAGCAATATCCTCTGTATTTCAGCCAACCACACTTTAGAAAAAACAAAACAAAAACAAAAAAACCCACACCACACACAACTGGTCAGATCAAGCATTAAAACCTAAATGAAAGCACACATTCCAGAAAGAGCCTGACTTGTTACAAATGAGATTAACCTTTAGACATACAACATAAAAACTATTTTCATACCTGTTTGGAATTCAGAGCACTGCCACTAGGATCAGTAAGGACATTATCACAATTTGACCATACTCCATATTTAAAAGATCTGAGTTTTTTCCTTGTTTGGGATTTAACCTTCGAAATGAAGAGGAGAAAATATTATGCTTCTAACACAGGCAATATTTGCCGGGCAGAGTGGAGGGACATGACAACATGGGGACAGAATGACACACCCCATTTTCTGCCATGATTAACAGGCAGGAATATTGCATGGCACAAACAAACACATTTAAACCTCTGCAGTACAATAATGTCTAAAAAAATTAAGTATGACCCAAATTTACAGAGAAAACAGATCTGAAGTGAATGACGTATTCATACACTCATTAGCGCCTATGTGAGGCTGCATCAAAGCTGGTTGTAAAGAGAAAAGACAACTTGCACCAGAGTTGAAAGAGAAGCAAATATGAAAAAAACGTAGTTATGCCCCCAAAAATGACAAATGAAGTATACAGAAGTCCTGAAGACTGTTATAAACTCAAACGAAACAAAAACCTGTAAAATATGAAGACTGAAAATTCCTTTTATTAAAGCATACAGTGATACACAGCATACACAGATAAAAAATAATGCCTTACCAATGTAAAACAAATATGATTAATGAAAATAATCAGATTTGAGATGTATACCACTGAAACACAAATACAAGTGTCATGTTTAAATTAAATGTTACCAGAACTTCAACATATCAGACGGTTTTGCTTTGGTTTTAAATCTAACTGCAAAGTCTACCGAGTTACACAAACATTCACTATGCTGAGAAATATAAAAGAAAATATATCACTTACTGTAAAGACACCAAGTACCAGATTTATATTCATTCTAATATTTTTTTTTTATACTATGAAGCATTGGCAGCTTCGTGTCTTTCGCATACCTGATAGCATTTGCGCATCTTACAATGGAACTTCATACTAATTTTCACCCTATTTTGCCTATCAGTGATGCTGCACCTTCAAATAAACTGGTCTTCAGCTTCTACCTGCAGCATCAAGCATGTCAGAAGAAACTTATCTCATAATAAAGTTACCATTTAATTAGTACCTTATTCGAGTTACTTAATTCCTTATGTTTTTTCACCACACAGTTGATAATGTCACAAACAATCTGCATTTTTCTTTCTGCAAAGCCAAACTGAAGAAACTGCTGTTTTGTTAAAATCGGTTTATATTGAAATTGATCTCGAAGAAGCTGCAACAAAATAAGAGTTTACTTCACTTTCAAAATCACCATGCAATTTGTTGTAGAAATGGCATGCTCAGATTCTTATTTTTCTACAATTTTTTCTTTCATTCTGCACTTCAGCAGTTAAACCTTTTCTCATTTGGTTATTTATACATTCTCATCTGTTTCTTCTAACTAGACTTTCAACATACCTCTTCCAGAAACATTTCATTCACATCACTCTTGTAAAGTTTAACTCACAGTGTTAGGATTCATGAAATAAATTATTGTAGACATTAATATTAAAAAAGTTAAACAAAAACTTTCCAAAGTGAATGCACAATAAAAAGTTGTATTCATCTCAGCAAATGTGCCAGAGGGCTAAGTATGGCTCCCACAGAGCCTCTTTTAAAGAAGTCTCTGTCCTCCTCAGATGGAAAACTAGTCTGAATAAGCTAGTATTCATTAATATATCAAGCCACCTTTTATAAAAATACGCTTATGGATATTTTTAAGGATAGTTCAAAATTATTTTCATTCAGTTAAGAATCTGATTTGATTCCAATTTATAAACTATTAAGAACTGGACTTTATATATTAATTTTGCATGGTGTCTTAAAATAGCTATTTCTTAATTGTGTTTTCGTTACAATTATTGAAGTTTGCTGTCATTTTTTACTGGTTATGATTTCTTCTAAGGTCACTGCTATAAAACCTATTGTGTAATAAATATTTCAGTATTCTTCACAGCTGACATAAAGCACAATAATATTACTGACTGTGGTTGTCTCAAAATTTAGATTTGGCTAACAACATCCAGCCTTATTTTCATGAAAATCTAAGTAAAGACTTGCCACACGGTGACTTACTACTCATCTTAAATCCTAACAGAATTACAATTCACGTTCATTGCCAAATATTTTCACTTTCTAATAAAACTCATACTAGATGTTTTATTTATGAGGCCATACTCAACACTGTCTCTTCTGCGAGGAACATGAAGACAGATACCTTATAAATAGCTTCAATAAAACGCAAGTCACTCTTTGCTGTGAGTTCCACATCGCACTTTACCAAAAGCTCTGCTATGTAAGTCGAAAAAGATGTAAAAGAATAGCTGATGATAGGCAAAAATGCAGCTGGATCACCCTTTACTAACCTATTGAGAAACAAAAGTATTTTACACAGCAGAAGATAACAAAAGCCTTTCATTATACAAATTCAAACATTTAACTTGAAAGGTGTTTTAATACAGCCAGCATGTTATACCCGAGTATCTCCTCCATTTTAAGTTTTTTTTCCAGGCATATCTCATTCAGCAGTCTTTACTGTTATCTGTAAAATGCTCAAACAACGTTTTTGTGACCCTCATATAATTTTAACATTGTCGGGTCTAAAGTCCACCAGCATTTCCATCTCAATATTCAACACCTTTTTTTTTTTAATCTTTATATGATGAAATTTCCTGAAGAAAGTTTTGCTAGTACTTACAAAGAAATTAGAAAGGTGAGAGATTAATCAAAGAAAAGAGAAAAACAGCAGAAGAAAGAAGAGCAAGAGAGTGATACACTTCAGGGTTATTCCAAGGATTGCTCAGAACAGCAAAACTGCATCCTTTTATCTTCCAGTTCACATGTATCAAATCCCAACTTCCCATAGACATATGCTCTGCTTACTCATCACTGGGTGCAATGCTAATATTTACACATATCTTGTTTACACATCTTGTTGCCATCATGTATTAGCATAAATTTATTCACACTGCCACTTACACTGTATAATCCACATCTCTTGGATAATTTAACAAGCGAAGTCCTTGTTCTATTTTTCTTAAACTTCCTTTTAGGTCTCCTGTTGCCATTATTCCAAATGCTACTCTTCTTTCAGATTATGAAATAAATGTAATATAATACATTCTCCTCCTTAACAACAACAACAACAAAAAAAAGTACACAAAAATTACAAATTGCAATAGAATTATCCCTGAAATTCAAAGGTTTTTGCTCCTTTTTTCTAGACACTCCTATTTCCAAAGTGTTACAATACAGCACAGAGCTAGGACACGATACCAATTAATATGTCATCATCTTCATTCATTCTAAATGGGATCAAGTAGTAATCCTCAATCTGACCAACCATCAAAGATCTTTAAAGATAAAGATATCTGAAAGCATATTAAGAATTTAGGGCTGGCTAAATCCACTAAAACTGAGTGAAAACAAGTTTCTTCACTGTTTCAAAGGAGCAGAAACTCCACAAGCAGTGAAAACCTTTCGCATTCTTCAGTTTAAAATGCTTCTTATTCTTTTCTTCACCTGGTCCCAAGCTCACTGGCCAAAAAAGCAATGTTTGGCTGTGTAAACATTAGAAGGCAGGACTAGCAACTCATCACAGACAATACTTCTCTATTTAGATGATCCATTAAATACACTTAAAATTGTTCATGGGGGGAGGAGGTAACAGACTATGTAGATATTTCAAAACAGGTGCAAATTTATCGGGATGATAACCAAAAGGTCCATGTTTAACTTCTACATTGTAACATACAAGTTGAAAACCCACTTTTAATTTATTGTGGGCTTTGCTTCACAGAAGAAAGAGACTCATCTAAGGACTCTTTTTGTAGCGCAAACTACAAAAAGGTGCCTTTGTCCCTGCAGAACTATCCTGCAAGGAAACTGTAGGCTGCAAGAAAGCGGGGGGG